ATCCAGAGACTGTAATTATAGGGAAAATTTAGGTTATTATTAATTTTTACTCGACATTTATATTGAGTAGACTTTTAACCATACACCTCTTTATCTGATATTTAAATACACTGTTTCTTTAAAAACAGTAACCCCCACTAAATTGTTAGGAAAAAAAGTAGGATCAGAACGGCATGAAAAAGATAGCTCTAATCACCTGACAGTCTTCAGTGCATCCTGAAACAGGGTTTACAGACTTTGAAGTATTGCATAGTTCTAGTCTTCATTAAAAACTACAGGAAACTTTCATGTAAGGAGCTAGAAGTCTCATATTCTTCCTCCCCTTGTTATCTTCCTCCAGCCACCTCCCTCCTTTCCTCAGAAAAATATCCACAGAAAGAAAACATTTTTTCTACATAATAGTGGGAGATGCATTGCTTATCTCCTCATTATGGGTTTGTTTTTGTTTGTTTGATTGTTTTTGGTTTTGTGTGTATTTTTTGTTTATTGTGGTTTGTTGTTGTTTTGTCCCTGCTTCCTGGGGAAAAATGAACGATGTTTCTCATGGGAAAAATAGACATATTGAGAGTATCATGCTGGTCCACATTTTTGCAGGGAAGACTGCAACCATCCCCCACTCAACTATCTCATTCCACCTCTGTTTTCTGCAAAGCTTAGCGACTGATGGCTAAAGTCCTGTGTTACTCCTGAATCTACTTGAGTCCCAGGGCTTGGTGGCAGAGTGAGGGACAGGGGTCCACTCTGGTGGATAAAGTGGAATTTTGTAGTGCAAAGGAGCCTGAGATAAGAGCAGAGAGACAAGAGAAGGAGGAATTGGTGGACAAAGAACATGAATTTAAGGCTGGATGTAAAGATAGGAGTAAAGAAAATTGTCACGGGGCATACCCTCTTTTGAAAAGACATAAGTCCTAAGTGCTTTCCTTCTTGAGATTCTAGGGAAAGTGTAAAATAGACTTTTAATCTTTTTTTCTCAAGTTGTAATTCTCTTTTCAATTTACTCTAAGATTCCCATTAAGACTCTATATAGACTGTGTGTTTCTTTTCAGACCGAGGGGAACAGTGTTGGGAAGAAGAGGGATGAGAACAAGAGAACCTCACTCATGGACAGCTGTTTTCTGGGTATTGGGAGAGATATCTTGTCACATCACAGTCACTATGATTGAGAAATATTAAATTATTGCCCAAAATCACAGAGTTGGTGAACAAGGAACTGGGACCTAAGCCCTTCTAAATCCAAGTCCAGCCTTACACTTAACCTATAAAATGTTTTTCACTTCGATGTGTTGTCATAGCTGAATTGTGTCCTCCCCAAATTCATATGTTGAATTTCAAACCCTCAGTACCTCAGAATGTAACTGTGTCTGTAAATAGGTCCTTCAAAAAAGTCACTGAGGGGGGCATCAGTGTGGCTCAGTGAGTTAAGCCTCTGCGTTCGGCTCAGGTCATGATCTCAGGGTCCTGGGATCAAGTCTGGCATCGGGCTCTCTGCTCAGTGGGGAGCCTGCTTCCTCCTCTCTCTCTCTCTCTCTCTCTCTGCCTGCCTCTCTGCCTACTTGTGATCTCTCTCTGTCAAATAAATAAATAAATTCTTAAAAAAAAAATAAAGAAGTTGCTGAGGTAAAATGAGGTCATGAGTGGGCCGTAATCCAATATGATGGCGTGTTTATAAGAAGAGATTTGGACACAGATATGCACAGAGGAAAAGACCATGTGAAGACACGGGGAGAAAATGGCCATTTGAAGCCAAGGAGAGAGGCCTTAGAAGAAACCGATGCTCCCAACACTGTGATCACAAACTTCCAGCCTCCAGAACTGTGAGGAAAACATTTCTGTTATTTAAGTCACCCAGTGTGTGAGATTTTGTTGTGACAGCCCTAGCAGATGAATATACACTTTATTCCAGTTTGCCACTTTTCTGAGACAGAGCGAAGAAAACAAAAGCAATATTCACCCTGAAGAGCATTTTTCTAGTTGATTTAGAAATGTGTGGAAATTGACATTGTAAAGGAAATGCCGAACTGATCTTTGGCTATGCCAACTAACAATTGATTTTTTTCTCCTTTTTCTATCCTGTGATTAATTTATTTTTCCTCAGAACAAAGTAATTTAGCACAAATATGCATTCTAAATACACAGCAGCAGCATTATAAATCTTGATTTAAGCTGGGTCTGCACAGTACTCAGCCAGTGCTCCAAATCCTACTTTTACTGAAGCCAGCAGCATATTATAACAATGTCAAACAATATACCATTGGATCTCAGAATATGTGTCTAATTTATGAGTTTTGTGGTTTTTCACACAAGCTTGAGGTGAAAATCAGTTTTTAAGAAACTGTTAGATCACCAAATGGGAAAAGTCTTATTCAAATATATCGCCATGAAACACCTTTAGTTAGATAGAGAGAAAATGTGCTTTATTCTAGGAATATAATCATTTCTGCTATGATGCTTGTTTTAAAAATGTGAATTGTTTCTTTTTTGAAAGATTTTATTTATTTATTCAGCACAGAGAGAGATCACAAGTAGGCAGAGAGGCAGGCAGAGAGAGAGGGGGAAGCAGGCTCCCTGCTGAGCAGAGAACCCGACGTGGGGCTCGATCGCAGGACCCTGGGATCATGACCTGAGCCAAAGGTAGAGGCTTAACCCACTGAGCCACCCAGGTGCCCCAAAATGTGAGTGTTCTGATGTGACTGATGTGTTAGGAACAACTGGAACACCACACTCATTTCGTGTTTGCTTATGCACAACCTGGTCCATAAGAAAAACTAGATGAACATAGAAAACTGTGCTAGCTGAAGAAAGAGGGCTAGAAAAACACCCACCCATATACATAAACCTCTGAGAGTCAACCAGCTGGCCCCACTCACTGCATGTTAGGAGCCACATCTATCTACATCTGGTGACAGAATTTCCTGTCCAGTTTGACATAAACCTCTTCTACCACTCCACAATAACTCACAAGCTACAAGCCTTCCAACACCCACTTACACAAGCACACTTTGGGTCTTTTTCAGGGTCAAGTGATAAATTTACCTTATCATCTATGGATTCCTTAACCTTTTAATATATATAAAACTGTGCTGCCATTTTGATTACAGCCCGGTCTTTTTATTCTTTTTTAAATTTAAAATCAATTAATTAACACATTATGTATTGTCAGTTTCGGAAGTAGAGTTCAGTGATTCATCGGTCTTATATAATACCCAGTGTTCATTATATCATATGCTCTCCTTAATGTCCAGCACCCAGTTTCTCTAACCCTCCATTCCCTTCACCTATCTTTTTATTCTTATATGTCACTGACAGTTTTGGAGTGTTGTGGCCCTAGCCTCATATTCCTGATAGCTCTGTAGTTTCTATAGCGTGATTTTGCATAGTGCAGTGAACTTTGGGAATAAGTATATTCTAGCAGCAATAACTGGTTCTTTTTTTTTTTAAGATTTTATTTATTTATTTGACACAAGAGAGAGAGAGAGCACAAGCAGGGGGAGCAGCAGAGGGAGCAGGAGAAGCAGGCTCCCTGCTGAGCAAGGAACCCAATGTGGGACTCGATCCCAGGACCCTGGGATCATGACCTGAGCCAAAAGCAGAGGCCTAACCATCTGAGCCACCCAGGTGCCCCAGCAATAACTGGTTCCTGAATAGGCATTATCCGACCCTTCGGATGTGTTTATCCATTTTTTTTTTGTGGTTTTGTTGTTGTTGTTTTTGAGATTGTATTTATTTATTTGACAGAGAGAGAGAGTAACAAGTGGGGGGCAGCAGGCAGAGTGAGAGGGAGAAGCAGGCTCCTCACTGAGCAGGGAGCCCCATGCGGGCTCAATTCCAGGACCCTGAGATCATGAGCCAAAAGGCAGACATTTAACCAACTGAGCCCCCCAGGCGCCCCTATCCATTGTTTTTTGTAGTGGCTAGCCCAACCCTCTAGAAGTTTGTTCTTTGTCCATAATCCTCCTTAGCCAAATCTAAAGAAGACACATGTGGTCTGTGCCCTCCTCAGAGACTGACCATCTTTATTAGCCTCTTTCCCGCCCAAGGGGATGATGTTGCATTAAAAAGAAACAATACAGTGCACCAGTATAAGGGAATATGATAGTTCCAGCCTATGTTGTAGATGTACTCCTGAGGATAGTGAGGCATGCTCAATTAGAAGAGGGTGAGAAAAGGTATCAGGCAGACATAAATATTCATTACCACAGTCGCTAAAGCAAGGCTGTGTGTCCTGACTCCGCATGAGAGCCAGCTCTCACTATTTTAACCTGAAACTCTTTAAATCCTTGTGACTCTCTAAGAATGTATGAGAATAAGTGATCTCATTCATGGATAATGCCTCTTCCCCTAAAAATATATCAGCTCAGCTGGTTCTTTGCTGGGCTTATCTCCTCAAATAATTAGATTCTTCAACCTTTATTAAAGAGGCAAGTGGAATTCAAGAAATCTCCTTTTCTTCTAAACCATCCTGCTCCTGTAATTGGAAGTCTGGGTGTTTTTCTTTATGAACTCCACCTGTAATAACTTGACTTCATTCACCTCTACACATTCCTATTCCTCTCATAATTCAATATCTCAACCAATAATTATGTTTCTCTTATTAAATCACAAACATCTCAAAATGCAAATTTCTAACCAAGACATTATATATTAAAAATGAGAATGTCACATTGCCTTGTAGAACCTGCCTTAATAGAGGAAAGATCATGAAGTCTTACAACTGAGAATTTGGAAATACAAAAAAAATCCACATTTTTTCATAACAATTCAGGGGCCAATGGTTGAAATTATACTGAGAAACATAACAACACTGGAGAAGAATTTACATATTCTATAAGCATATCATATGGAAAAACTTTATAATCAGAGTGTAATATGAATATAACACTGGAGAAGAATTTACATATTCTATAAGCATATCATATGGAAAAACTTTATAATCAGAATGTAACATGAATATAACACTGGAAAGGGATAAACTAAATAATTCTAATATTTAATATTTTCAGGCAATGATGACCAGATCAATTCACCTCCAAAGAGGTTTCCTCGGAGAACACGTAAGTAATGTCTTTGGGTCAGAGTATTGGGAAGTTCTTATATAGTAAGGACACTGATAAGTTCAGAGAAAATAAGTGACTTTTTTAAGACAACCCAAATAGTATTAGAGTCTTCAAACCTTGTTTAAGTGCCCATTCCAACATACTATACTGTCTCATTGAGTGGAAACTTGGTTTCATATAGGAAGACTTAGAAGAAGCAAACTTCTAGCATTGGGATCCCTAAAAGAGCATCACTACATAGATGTTAGGTTTGAATTTTGTCTTCCCAAAAAGCTTAGTTGAAGTCCTAACTCCAGGCACCTATGATTATGACCTTATTTGGAAATAGAATCTTTGTAGATGTAATTAAGATGAAATCATTAGGGTGAGCCCTAATCTAGTGGGACCAGTGTTCTTTTTGTTTTTGTTTTTTTTTTTTTAATAAGATTTTATTTATTTATCTGAGAGAAAGAGCCCAAGAGAGAGAGAGCATGAGAAGGGCAGAGGCACAAAGGGACAGGGAGAGGCAGACTCCCCGCTAAGTGGGAGCCCGATGCGGGTCTCGGATCACCTGAGCTGAAAGTAGACACTTAGGGAACAGAATCCCCCCTGCCCCAGGCACCCCTCCACCAGTATTATTTTAAGACGGTATTTATAGAGGGAAAGAACATCCATGTGACAATGCAGGCAGAGATTGGAGTGATGTGTCTACAAACTGGGGAAACCAAGGATTACCAGCCAACACCAGAAGTTAAGAAAACGCCATGAAGGATTGCCCTGAAAGTTTCAGAGACAGCATGGTCTTGTCAACACCATGATTTCAGACGTCAGCTTCCAGAACGGTGAGACAATAAAGTTCCGCTGCTTTAAGCCTTTCTAGCAAGCCTTCCTCTGGTACTTTGTTAGGGCAGCCCTAGCAAATTATTACAGCAGCTATTTCCACGTGAGAGCAGACATTGAAGCCCAGCACGAGAGGATTGTAGCAGACCTTGTTAGCTACCTAGCTGAAATCCATCTATGCCCCATCACTTTTCTCCCCCACTGAGAGAACACTGAATGAGCTCAAACACTGAATATCCATTTACCCACCATGTACCTGGCCTCTCCCAGTGATTCCATTTCCTCTACCCGGAATGTTTTGTTTTGTTTTGTTTTGTTTTTCTTGCACTGAGTACATTTGGCAGTACTGTCCAATGAGTTGTCTGCTGTTGCATAAATCTACTGTGGGGCTTCTGGGAAAGTTTACTCCCTCTTAATAAGCAACATAAGACAGGATCGACACTCTTCTTTGCCTTTGGACATTATAACGTGAGAACAATATCTAATATCTGTGCAGCGGCTTCCTCCAGCTTACGTGATTGTTCGTGTGGTTCAGTCAGGTGGGAGCTATGAAGGGAAAAGCCAAAAAGAATCATAGAATTCAACCTGGATCCCAGCCAGCATGGGCCACTGAATCCACCAAACCCTTTAACTGCCTATTCTGGGCTTCTTGCTGTGCAGCAGAGTAAGTATCTTTACGGTTTTGCTAGATTTTCTGTGACGTGTTCTTGAAAGCATGCCAACAGATCCAAATATGAAGGCACCAGAAAATGCTAGATGTCCCATGTACTCATTCTTCCATCCAAGGAAGGCAGAACCCAGGAACCCTCTTTCCGTGGAGCTCTGTAGTTCCAGAGACTGGCTGTGGTTTCTGCCAGAGGAAACCAATTGGCTTCCATAAACCAAAAGAGCATTTCTGCATTTTAGATTATTTTATGCAAAATGTATTCGGCAAGATTTTTACATTGTTTGGTAGAAGGAGCAGAACAGGAAATACAATAACACATTTTGGTTTATAATAAGTGAGAATATGAATATACTTCAGTTTTTTCAACTATTCCTGCTCTAGGAACTGCCTTTGTAACCTATAATGATTTCTGACAATCATTCTCTTTCTAGTCTTCAAATCTTTTTCTGATTCCCTGCATGATTCAAAACCTAAATACTATAAAAATATCAGTTTGAGGAAAGATCAAAAATTCATTTGACCCCATCATCCGTCGGATATTTGAATCCTCTCTGCAGTATCCTGACTGAAAACCATTTGGTCTTTTATTTTCCTGCTAGTGACTGTAAACTCACTCCAGTTAAGGGACACCTTCTTTATCCTCAGAGAGCTTTAATGTTTGAACACCTCTTCTTGGATCTTTTATAAGTGGCCTTAATTCTGGGGCACCTGGTGACTCAGTGGGTTAAGGTCTCTGCCTTCAGCTCAGGTCATGATCCCAGGGTCATGGTATCGAGCCCCGCATCAGGCTTCCTGCTCAGGCAGGGAGTCTGCTTCCCCCTCTCTCTCTGCCTGCCTCTTGGCCTACTTGTGATCTCTGTCTATCAAATAAGTGAATTAAATCTTTTGGGGAAAAAAAAAAAAAAGAAGAGGCCTTAATTCTATCCACTGGCACCACAGAAAAGCTCAACTCCTCTTCCAAGAGATAGCCCTTAGTAATGGAGGACAGCCTCCTGGTGAGTCATCAGCCATTGGGGAGAGCACCAGTTCTTATCTACAGATAAAAACAAATCTCCATTCTTTACTGTTGCTTTATGTAAAACCTGCAAATCACTAAAACAACAGGTGTTAATGGAACTGTCCTGAGCTAATTGGATATATAGTATATGGTCATATTATTCATAGAATATAGGTACTCATTAATTTTTTTTTGCCTTTTTTTACATTTCTCTGAACTCAGCCCAATTTAGAGCAAATTACGTGGAAATAACCACCATCAAAATAAAACAAAAACAAATAACTGCCATCACACCCCCCACACCCCCCAAACACACACCCTCCAAGATTATCTTTCCAATGCAGTTGATTAGAACCATCCTTTTCTTTAGCCATTATGACTTTATTAATGCATTGTAAGGTTCATTGAAGCTCTTAGCTATTTACACTCTCTGTGGCTAAGCTCTCAGGCTCTGCTTGAATATTTATATTATGTTCACATTATCCCCATAACATATTATCTTGATAGCTTTGGCCCATAGTTCCAACTATTTATTACTTTTTGGATCATGGGCCAAACACCCACACATTTCCTATCTCACATGGTTTCATTATTTCCTTCAATTTCATATATGTCTACAGAGCAAATGTGAGCCTCTTCATTGTTTTTAATCGCCCAACTTAAGTTGGCCCTTTCCTCCAAGTGGAGAAATTTAATCTTTGTAGATTTAAGACCCCCAGCTTAAGTAACATTACTTAAAATCACCTTTACGTTCCAAGAAGGTTTGAAGGATGCCAATGAGATAGGAGGCTGGTGGTGGGAGGTTGGCAAGAGGAATGCATCTGCTCTGGTTGCCATCTGACCATGTGGACATCTGTCGAGTCATCTTCGGGCTCATGGCAACTTAGCTCACATTACATGTAAGTCCTGTTGTATTATACTTTGTTCCCTTCCAAAAGTCCTCTTCAGAACTTCTTGTCTTTCTGTGACACAATGGACTCTTTGAGCACACAGTTCAGACTGCTGTTCTGTTGCCAATATGGAGCTCATGGACTCTGAGCTGGGATTCCATGGAATTTCTATCTGCCTAGTCACAGCAGGCAGCCAGAGCTCCTCTACTGACAACTACTTTTTCCAGGAGAGAGCACAGAGTTTCCCCCCTGCCACATCCCCCTCCACTCATCCTGGGGGGCATGAACTCAGGGGCCCAGCACCATTTATGAAGAAGCTAACATCACCAGAACTCATATCACTATTCCTCATCCAATTCTCCTTCTCCAACCAGAAGACCATTTACCTTAGATGCCAGAATTCATGTTCTTTTCTTCTGTGTATTTATACAAATGTATTATCTTATTAGAATACTTCTCTTTTTCTGCAAGTCCTAAACTTTAAACTCAGGAACCAATAAAGAATACTTTTTCTCTGTTCTACATTCCTTCCCTATAGCAATGAATATGGGATTACCTAGCTGACTGGGTGGGGGCGGGGTGTAGCATCAATAGAAAATGGAAAATACTCTAGATAGTATTTCCAAATATTATGATAATGCCTATAATTTATGACTAATAAATAATGCTACAGAGAACAGAATTGAGAACAGACATCTCTGGAGTATAACCAGAAACCAGAAACCAGAAACCTTCCTTTAAGCCAAAACAATTCCTGAATTTTTAGCTATTTAAACAATTTTGATGTTCAAGAAGATATTTTTCAAAGATAAAATCTCTCTCTTTGTATATTTAACTAATACTGCTAACTCTGCCCAGGGGGGCTACCGAAATGTATTCTTTCATATAATAGCTCTTATTATGTGAACATGATTTTGCCCTAATGTAAGCTTACCAACTTTTAATAATCCTTTTATATTTTCTAGGATTTTCAATAATAATAATAATAATATAAAGTATATATTCATAGTAATTTAAATATGTAAATTTTTAATTTTTAATAAAATTTTCCATAATAGGAAATGTTCTACTAATTTATTTTTCTATATCCATCAGTTGGAAGGCAGTCTTAGTTTAGAGCACCTAGATGCTCTCAGATAGCCTCTTCACCAACACTTGGCTGAACTTCTCTCTTAACCAAGACTATACTTTTTAAAAGGTAATCCTCAGGGCACCTGCATCAGAATAATCTAGAATGACTGGTAAAATGTAGATTTCTGGGTACCATGTGAAACCTACCGAATTGGCATACAGAGCAGACAATAGATTCCAGATATTTGCATTCGTAGGCGCATCCTAAGTGATTTTTGTAAATGATACAGTTCCATGGAAACATTAATTCTATCTTTTTTCCATTGAAAAAAATTCCTTTCAGCAGAAAAGGTAAAAGTAATATGCCATTTAAGAAATATTTCAATGTTAAAAACAGAGGAAACTATAAACATGGTTGTTCACTTCCCATATTTCAACAATTGAGTTGATCTGTCCAAGTGAAAAGAAAGGAGAACAAAAAAAGAACAAGGATTAGAACACATGTATCTTAACTATAATTCTAGTATATCTGTTTAATCTTTGTAGTCAATACCTGCTGGTCCCAAAAACTGTGGATTTTATTTCCTTTGGAGATCGGAAATCTTTGTGTAGCTTTCACACTTTTATAAGAATCACCTTACTAGTAATGTTTGAGTATCCCTCTAACAATTCGCTAATATTTATTCTTGGTTATATTCCTATAGTTTCTTCTTATAAAAGGTTTCTTTATGGACTGCCTTCATTCATCCAAAATGCATTTATTGAGAATCTTCCCTGGACCAAACACAGTTCTGGGTAAAGAGGATATAGCTTTAAATAAAACATAGAAAAATTTCTGCATCATGAATGAGTATAATTTATAGGTCTGTTCTCCTTTAATTATTCATTTGAATTACTAATATTTAACTAACTTTATACTAAGTATTTTGACTTTTTGCTTTTAATATACTTAGTTTTCTCCAAACTTTATGAAATACAACTCCCCAAAGTTTTGGGAACTTATTTATGTTTTCTATCTCGTCTTCTTCCATCCCTTTCAGTAGCACCTTATCTAAAAAATTCCAAAGAAATGATCACTCATTTGTTGAAATCTCAAGAGTGAAGAATAACTAACAATCAATGGCTGTTATGCTACTTTCTGAGAACAGAATGTTGACTAGGAGAGCACATTTTAGAATCAAAGACTAGTAAGTTGAAAAGAAAAGGTAGATAAATATTTTACCATGAAACATTAGCCATAAGAGTAATGGAGTGACTACATTAATATAAAACAAGACTTCAAAACAAGAAATATGATAGGATGAAAGAAATCTGATGAAAGAAATCTATTTCATAATAATAGAAAGGGCAATATGTCAGGAAGGAATAGACATTATAAGTGCGTGATTATATGAAAACAGATCCCTAAAATATA